AARSMRGRAAAMCSAAAAAAAWTAATTCTTTTCAACTTATGACACTAATTTAAAGGTAAACATTCTGATTWATTYCAGGTGGACTGGTGGTGGTCYCCCAGCAGACGTCCTGGTAAGTGGGGTGCGTATTTCTAYCATAASTTGTTTTTTACTAACATGTGATGAACTGTTAGTCTTATTCAGAATCAACTTTAGCACAAAAGCAAATTTCTTTGTGAAGTGCAATGCCTCAAAGGCGAAACAAAAAAATCACCCAGCAATCGATGAAAAACTAGCATGTGTCAGGGTGCAGGTTTTTAATGAATAGTTTTGAAGTGAATGCGCATTTTATGCAAATTATGTCCATTTTGCACTTAGCACTTAGTCACAATTTAAAGCTCAGGCCATTTTTTTTGTAATTTGACCATTTAGTTTTTTGCATAGTGTTCATTTTGCACTAAATATCACATGTTGTAAAATCATCTGGTTTTAGAGTTTTCATRAATTGCTATGCATACATGTAACTCTTAATTGAACCATAATAATTATAATTGCATGCTGTGTTAAAAGTATGTAATACAAGCTACTTTCAAGTAATTTACACAACATTAACTGTAAACCATTAATTTTCTTTTAAAGTAGCATGATTTAATGAAAATTTTTAAATGTCACTTAAGTAATACAATACAATACAATACAATAAACTTTATTTAAGGAGGGTGACACGATTAACCCAAGGAGTTATCTAACACGTGGCCCTCACACTACTGAAACAATTACAAAATATAAGAAAATGTTATTATCTTTTGTCATCTATGATAAAACAAAGGAAAACATTGTCTAAGTCAAGGGATTCACGTCATTGGATTTATTGTGCTCATTCATTCATTTTTCTTACTATTCAGTCATTCATTAATTTGATTGCCTGAGCATCAGGTTTTCTTGAAGGTGATTTGGGAGAGAAACAACACCAATCTCCATTAAGAGAGCTTTATACATCAGCTTTATAATCAATGATATTTCATCTCATTCTATTATAATCCCCACTATTTACTTGCAGTCAAATTCTTAATGTAATATTAAAATGCCCTACGACATCTTCTATATAAAACACATGTAATTGAAAATAAAATTATATTTCAGAAAAATGATTAACACAATTAACTACCAACAATATTTTTAAAGCAATAGTAGAGCAAAGAGCTAATGTTGTTACTCTAATTTCTGCAACTAGGATGGCCACACATATTCTAACCAGAACTCAAGTAAAGAGGTTAGTTCATGATATGATTGTATTTAGACATTTAGTTATTAGTTATTCTAAGAATGGGTGGTTATAATATCACATTATTTGTTTCCTGCAGGCTGAAGCAGCAAAGCTTAAAATTCAACAACTTGAAAGTGACTTAGGAATTGCACTTACTTCTAAAGGAGATTTGGAAAACAATTTAAGGTGCATTTGAAACCTTTGACTTTCATCAATAGACAGCGTTCAAATAGTCCATTTTACTGTATTGTACCTGAAATTTCAATCTACTTGTTATTGAAAATCACTCCCTTGGTTATTATGTGCATGTTTGACATTGTATTGTTTAGAATTTGAGAAAAAACAGCTCCATGATCTATGAAATTTTGTTATGGAAACTTATGAATGTTGTGTTTTGATCACTTGCAGAGCTGCCACTGCTAAGCTTGAGAAAGTGCTCAGAGAATTTGAGAGTGAGGTAAGGAAATAGTTATTTTATTTAATATTAACCTAACTATGTGTTAACAGATAGTTCATGAATCTAATTATGTATTGATATAAACTCTTCTTGACCACTATTAGACCTCAGCCACCACTGAATACCCCCCTCCCCTGTACTGCCTTTGAATGTAATTACTTTTGTCTCTTAATGTGTTTAATATATCCTTGTGTGAATAGGCTGAAGGCCGTAGAAATACTGAGGCTGCAAATAGAGAATTAGAAAGAGATGCTGCTCAGATGAAATATGATCTTAGAGAGGTAAAATTCAAAACATTTCATATATTAATGGATGATTGCTCCAGGTCATAGTCATGAAAAAATAATGATAATCATCTTGGTCACTTTTCCATTTGCATGCTTGTGATTTTTTTTAGTTTTCATCCATCCATTCATTTTTCATTTGTTCATTCATTTATTTTTTGATAGCAAAAGTGGTGTAAAGCTGGCTAAAAACATTATTTATTATCTTTAGTGCAGTTCTGTCCAGCTAATGTTAATCTTTCTTTCTTAATGTTAGTTGAGGCAGGGGGTAATACACATAAGTATGTCATGTCAGGACTTGTTTTAGACTTGCATTAAATAAACAATGTCTAAAGATTATGCTAAAGCTCCAGGGGTTTATATATTGATGCATACTTTACCACTGGTATTGTGGCCAYCAGGTTTATAAAATGTGAAAACGTTTACATCTCACAACTTCACTCAGTAAAGTAAGATCAGAAGTACATCTTAAAGCTTAGATAATGGATTAACCTATTTGGGATAAATGTAGAAGATAAGCCCTTGTCACTATGACAATGTTGATTGAATTCAAAATAAGCCAACTGGTAGATGCAGACAGCTGTTTTTAGCCTTATTTGGACTTTGGGTCATTGTTGAAAACTACATTGTTAATTATTAGGGCATTACTTTTTACATGTAATTTATGTATGCATGCAGCATTTTATTTGCATAATTTCCTTTTCATTCATTTTTTTCATTTGTCTTTTTTTCACTTTCTTGATCTTTTCTGTTATTTTTTTATTTAATTTTTTTCTACTTTCTTGTTTACAGATCCAAAGAAAATTGGAATATGAAACTGATGTTAAAAGAAAGGTATGAGGATTCAATTACATTAATATTGGTGTTCATCTAAATAACGTCTAGCAATTAAAAAAAAATACTTTTCTGCTTCACCTTTGTTTCTCTATATTTCTTTTTAATTAATGATTTCTTCCCTACATTAATTGTAAGTTTTCTTTATTTAAATCAGTAGTTGACATATTCTTTTCTCTGTAGTATGAAGTCAAAGCCCAAGAACTTCAGGGACGTCTGGATGCAGAGCTTGATGCAAGAGACAAGATCTCTCAGTCATCACAAAATGTCCAAACCAAAATTACGTATTTAGAAAAACAGATTGCTGAATTGCAAGCAAACTTGAAGACTGAAAGTGATGGCCATGCAAAGAACAAAAAGGCTTTGGGAGATCTCCAAAAGGTATGTAGATAAATTGTTGGCATCAGTTTTGTCCATCTGTCTGTTTCTCTCTCTCTGTACTTGTATGTATAGACACTATATCTTGTATCATTTTGATAGGTTTTTAATTTTTACTTGCAAGCACTGCATTGTTATTACAGATGTCTTGTCTGTATTCATTCTCGTCTGTCTGTCTATCAGTCTGATAACATCTATTTTTGATATTACAGTCATATGCAGTTCTTGAAAGATCATATGGAGACCTTCAGGAGAAGAACAGAGTACTAAGCGACCAGAAGGTAACAATACACTGATCTATTTGATTTGTAGAATGATTCTCAAATACACTCACTTCTCTGTGTTTATAGTTATCGCTGGAAAGATCACATATCAAAGTTCAAGCTAGTTTAGAAGCTGAGTTCAACATGAGAGTCCAAGCGAACACTGCTAAAGCAGATCTTGAATGTAAGTTTGCTAATAGTGGTCAACAATTATAAAATTATAAATTAATGGTTATTTCAACGATATGGATTACATAAAACCTGTTTTTGAGACGTGTTATTTTGGTAAGACTAGCACTTTAAAAAATAATGAAAGAAAAAAACTACTTAATTTAGCTACAGTAGTCTGTACAGTTTCGTATTAGATACTTACCTACTGTCACTTTGTACAGCACAATATCAAGCAATCAAAGATGAATATGAACAACTCAAAGCAAGGACTGCTTCCGATGCACATTTACAACAGAAACTGCAACAAGATTTGATCAACCTTGAAAAGGTTAGTGAAATGTTTTTATATGTAGTTACATGGAAGGGGAAGGGGAAATGTCAGTATTATTGTATGTGATAAAATAATTATTGCAACTTCATACAATATTTCAGGCTAAAGCCAATACAGAGTTTGAACTGAAGTCATTACAGCAGAAGTTTGATCAAGCAACACTGGATTACAAGGTAATTATATCTAAATGACACTTTATTTAATGTCAATGAGATCTGTCACATTAATTTTGGATTGAATATTTTGAGTAATTTAAGACCAAAAGGTCAATACAAGTTGATTCTGTATCAGGCCATCCAGCAGAATGGACTATCAACTCATAGTTCACCAGACTGAGTGGTCTAATAGTTTAGTATTTTATAAATTCAACTTTTGAAAAAAAGGCCATAAAAGACTTTTTTGACTATTTTTACGTCATTCAAGGTGACCATATATTGAATTAAAAAAACATGAATAAACTATAGTTCAGTAGCCAATCAGAATGCTGGAATTGTAATAGCCATACTAACACACATGATTGTTTTTCATTACTTTAGTCTCAAATATCGTCATTCATGACTGAAAAGAAGCGTTTGTCACTCACACTTGAGGAGCAGCACATTCAAGAACGAGTTGAGCAAAGTAAAACAAGTAAGTATTGATATCATTCATAGTTGTATCAGTCACTATCTTACTGAACACAAAATTTGTCTAGTGGAAAGACTCAAGGTAGAACAAGAAYTGAGGGCCAAGGCTGAAGCYGCTGCTGCTGAAGCAGAGAGAGCAAAGACTGTTATGGCTGCAGATTATAAGGATGTTACTCAGAAGTTTGAGAGAGTGAAAGAAGAACTCAAGGCTCTTCAAGAGAAGGTACCCATGCTTTCTCTTCAGCCATTTCACTCCCTTTTCAACATTTTATTCTCCTTTTCTTCTCTTGCTTTCATTATTTTTTTTCTTTTTGCCATTTGTTTTCCTTTTATTGCTTTCTTCCTTCCTTTTTCTATTTATTCTTTTCCTGACATAGTCTACTTGGCTTGCAGAGTGAGAACACCAATCATAAATTGATAGCTGAGTCTCAAAAAAGAGCGCAACTTGAAGGAGAACTTGAGGCTCGAACCCAAGAACTTGCAACAACCAAAAGTACAGAGAGTCAGATCCAAAAGGTGGTGTAGATACTGWGYYAGTATGTAACAATAGCGTTGAATTTATGGCTTATTTTTGTATTCATTTTTTTAGCAAATGGAAAGTATATTGGAAGAAAAAAGGCAACTTGAAGAAGGTTATTCTAAATTAAAGAGGTAGGTTGCAATAAGTCTAAGTTACTTATTATGTGGTGATTGGGAACTTTGTAACATTGATTGGCTGGCTGACTGACTGATTGATTATTTGATTGATGGATGGATTGCCAGACTGATTGATTGATTGATTATTTGATTGATGGATGGACGGTCAGACTGATTGATTGATTATTTTATTGATGGATGGATTGTCAGACTGATTAATTGATTGGTTATTTGATTGATGGATGGATTGTCAGACTGATTAATTGATTGGTTAT